CACACCAGCCTGTAGTCATGTAAGGTGAGGAGTAAGTCACACCAGCCTGTAGTCATGTAAGGTGATAAAGTAAGTCACACCATCCTACAATATCCTGCAGTCATGTAAGGTGAGAAGTAAACAACACCAGCCTGTAGTCATGTAAGGTGAGAAGTAAATCACACCAGCCTGTAGTCATGTAAGGTGAGAAGTAAGTCACACCAGCCTGTAGTCATGTAAGGTGATAAATAAGTCACACCATCCTGCAGTATCCTGCAGTCATGTAAGGTGAGAAGTAAGTCACACCAGCCTGCTGTAGATTGCGGTCATATGAGGTAAGGGGTAAGAACATTCACAGAACAAAAACTGTTGGATGAACAAGAAAAAGTGCAACTAACAAAATAAAAATCACAACACAAATTAAAGTCAGAAGACTACAGGGTGTCCCAGAGAATTCCCTACAACGAAAACAGTAAACATGTCACCAGCAACATTACAAGAACCACTCCAGCTGTGCTGATACCTGACCTGCAGCTGTGCTGATACCTGACCTCCATCTGTGCTGATACCTGACCTCCATCTGTGCTGATACCTGACCTCCATCTGTGCTGATACCTGACCGGCAGCTGTGCTGATACCTGACCGGCAGCTGTGCTGATACCTGACCTCCATCTGTGCTGATACCTGACCTCCATCTGTGCTGATACCTGACCTCCATCTGTGCTGATACCTGACTGGCAGCTGTGCTGATACCTGACCGGCAGCTGTGCTGATACCTGACCGGCAGCTGTGTTGATACCTGACCTCCAGCTGTGCTGATACCTGACCGGCAGCTGTGATGATACTTGACCGGCAGCTGTGCTGATACTTGACCGGCAGCTGTGCTAATACTTGACCTGCAGCTGTGCTGATACCTGACCTGCAGCTGTGCTGATACTTGACCGGCAGCTGTGCTGATACCTGACCTCCAGCTGTGCTGATACCTGACCTGCAGCTGTGCTGATACCTGACCTGCAGCTGTGCTGATACTTGACCTGCAGCTGTGCTGATACCTGACCTGCAGCTGTGCTGATACTTGACCTGCAGCTGTGCTGATACCTGACCTGCAGCTGTGCTGATACTTGACCTGCAGCTGTGCTGATACTTGACCGGCAGCTGTGCTGATACTTGACCTGCAGCTGGGCTGATACCTGACCTGCAGCTGTGCTGATACTTGACCTGCAGCTGTGCTGATACTTGACCGGCAGCTGTGCTGATACTTGACCTGCAGCTGTGCTGATACCTGACCTGCAGCTGTGCTGATACTTGACCTGCAGCTGTGCTGATACTTGACCGGCAGCTGTGCTGATACTTGACCGGCAGCTGTGCTGATACCTGACCTGCAGCTGTGCTGATACTTGACCGGCAGCTGTGCTGATACCTGACCGGCAGCTGTGCTGATACTTGACCTGCAGCTGTGCTGATACCTGACCTGCAGCTGTGCTGATACTTGACCTGCAGCTGTGCTGATACTTGACCGGCAGCTGTGCTGAAACTTGACCTGCAGCTGTGCTGATACCTGACCGGCAGCTGTGCTGATACCTGACTTCCATCTGTGCTGATACCTGACCTCCATCTGTGCTGATACCTGACCTGCAGCTGTGCTGATACTTGACCTGCAGCTGTGCTGATACCTGACCTGCAGCTGTGCTGATACTTGACCTGCAGCTGTGCTGATACTTGACCGGCAGCTGTGCTGATACTTGACCTGCAGCTGTGCTGATACCTGACCTGCAGCTGTGCTGATACTTGACCTGCAGCTGTGCTGATACCTGACCTGCAGCTGTGCTGATACTTGACCTGCAGCTGTGCTGATACCTGACCGGCAGCTGTGATGATACCTGACCGGCAGCTGTGCTGATACCTGACCTCCAGCTGTGATGATACCTGACCTCCAGCTGTGATGATACCTGACCTTCAGCTGAGCAGCAGGCGCAGATAAAACTGGTTTTCACAAAAATGTGTTTCTCCCCTCAGTGTATGGAAACTTATGCAGTTCAATAAAGAGCAGAATATAAAATGATTTGACCATCTGATAAGAATGTCCTGGTACCAACTGCCAGAATCGATCGAACCACCACGCAAACGATGGAATGATGACATCAAAAACAACATTGAAGAGATCAGCGTATACAACTCATCAGAAAGAAGACAAAAGAAGATCCAACAGCAAAAGGGTAAAGAATGGACACAGCTGCTACCTCCAACATTGTACGCAATCGTTTGGTGCATGACGTCGCATATCTTACACTAACATAATTACGTGACCTGGGTGTAAAGCTTGGTGAAGCAGGTCTTTGCCGTCTAGAACAATATAGAAGACCAACTTCTGATGGGAACAATCAGTTGAGGTACCTTGGAAAGGTTGCTGCATCGGTGGTCTGAGCGCATATAGGAATTCCCAATGTGAAGTTACGTTGACTGTGATAACATAACACACACACACACACACACACACACACACACACACACACACACACACACACACACATAACAATTCGTAAATGAGATAACAGACCCTGTTACAACAGGGTTTCCCGTGTCTTAGGTAACCACCAATAGATAATACTGCTAACCAATCACAAAGCTTAGAATAAAAGGTGTTTCCCCGTCTCGCTCAATCGTTCCTTTCCAATAGGTCAAACTGCCTTCACTCTAGCGACGAAGAAAACATCGTGCGGTCGATTCCTACACTTTCCTGGAGTTCAGTAGCTAGATCTTCATAACACCAGCCAGCCGTAGGTTGTGTTTGGGGTTTGAACGTTTGTTTAAACGCGCATATAACATGGGACTTGCCGAGGGCATCGGTCAGAGCCAGTTCAAACCCAGGCTACGCGTGGTTGTGGGCGGAAAGATATACGATGTCACAGAATTTGCTGATCGACACCCAGGAGGGAGGGAGGTACTGGAGAAACATAACGGACAGAACGTGGAGGAGGCTATGCAGAATCCTGCAGTCCATGGACACACCAAAAGTGCCTTTGTTCTTTTGGAGAAGTACTTTGTGGGAAATGTAGATTCTTTGCGTTCGAAGGTAAGTTTATCTGTCAGTGATCATTATGTTTCCACGTCCAACATCTTTATTTGGATTGTCAGGAGCAGACACTGGCGATCTCGACTCTGCCGTATTCTTGTGCTTGTTTTTGTTGTTTCTGTTGTTGTTGTTCTTTCTTCTTCTTCTTTTTCTTCTTATTTCTTCTTCTTCTTCTTCTTCTTCTTCTTCTTCTTCTTCTTCTTCTTCTTCTTCTTCTTCTTCTTCTTATTTCTTATTTTTCTTATTGCTTCTTCTTCTTCTTCTTCTTCTTCTTCTTCTTCTTCTTCTTCTTCTTCTTCTTCTTCTTCTTCTTCTTCTTCTTCTTCTTCTTCTTCTTCTCCTTCTTCTTCTTCTTCTTCTTCTTCTTCTTTTTCATATTTCTTCTCCTTCTTCTTCTTCTTTTTCATATTTCTTCTTCTTCTTCTTCTTCTTCTTCTTCTTCTTCTTCTTCTTCTTCTTCTTCTTCTTTTTCTGCTTCTTCTTCTTTCTTCTTTTTCTTCTTTTTTCTTCTTCTTCTTCTTCTTTTTCTCCTCCTCCTCCTTCTCCTCATATCCTCTTCCTGCTTTCTCCTCCTTCTTTCTCCTCCTTTTCCTCCTTTTTCTTCTTTTTCTACTCCTCCTCCTTCTTCAGCTTATTTTTTTAACACTACCACCACCACCACCACCACTACTACTCTTACTCCTACTCCTGCTTTTCCTGCTCCTCCTACTATTACTACTTTAATTTCTATTACAACTACAACCACAACGATCAGTACTACTACTACTCCTACTCACACTACCACCACCACTTCCACCACCACCACCACACCACGACTACTATTTACATATTTGCTCAGAAAGAAAGCGGTTGATACAATGAATGGGGGTTTACAAGTGGGCTGTGATATCTACGCCTTTCGACCCAGCACATCCTTTTTCAGCAAATACTTAAATAATTTCTGCCCACAAGTAATACAAATCCGACAGTCAGCAGCAACTCTATGACTCGACCACCCACATACCGTGTTACACATTGTGGTTGTTCGTCCATTTCTGGACTTTGTCAGTGTTCTAGTTGAAGTTGGGTCTACATCCGTTTCACAGTTCTGGCTAATCTGTTGGTATCTTGCCTATCAGGCAGAGGCGCCGCTACTTAGAAGTATCAGTAGCGGCAGCAGCAGTAGTAGATGATGATGCTGATGACTATGATGACGGTGATTATGCTTGTAGTGGTGATACTGATCTTCAGCCTTGTCTGATCTAATAGGAATCACACCTCCCAAAACTGTCCTGCAGTTTGGGAGGTGTGATTATATAGCCTTCTAATGCAACTCTTTGTATTCCCGAATTCTCCGTGTTCCCTGACTTGCCCGAATTCTATTTGGCCAGCACTTTATTTGTGATCCCCGTGAATTTTACTTGGGCAGCAATTCTTTGTGATTTTCATGATAGTTCGTCTGGTCAGCATTTCTCGTGTTACACTTCAAATATTCCACTTTCATTACTTACTGACGTCATTCCGTCTGGGCATCATTTATCTAGGAGAAAATGAGGCTCACTTCACCTGTCTAAGCCAACGTAATACGGATTATTTTTCTCTACTCAAGTTTCCAGGTCACCATCCTATTATGAGCTAATTTCCTTCTATGTAGAAGACATCTTTGCGTTCATTTTGACAATGTACCCTCGACGTCACATTTCCTTTAATCCGTTCCAAAAGTTGTGCGTAACTTTAAAAATTTATAACGCAGTAACCGTTAGGTGAAAATTGTTAAAATGTGGCATGCAACCTCCTAATAATGATGCCCCTATATGAAAATGATTGTAATACAAACAAACATTTAGTCTGTGTTTTGTCTTTTTTTTTTCGGTATGTAATAAAATGGATACCGATTCAAAGTGTAAAGTTAGCATGTTTGTAGTAATAGAATTTTTTTGCGAAGTTTTCAAAACATCAACTTGGACTTGTTTTAGAGGTGATCCGAGCCAAAACAGCGTTTAACTCTCAGGTGGTCTATCTCTTGCATTAGTCTCCCGTGAATTATGTGGACACAGTGTGTCATTGTCTATGGAATAGACTATCATAATGATCAAAAGAAAAAAATATTAGGCAGCCCTGTGTGGAACAGAGTACGTGCGTTTGAGCTGAGGACCCCATGGTTGGCTCCTCTGGTGTGTCTCTTTTTCCAAGACGAAGGGAAAGAAGGGACATGAAGGGGACAAAAGCAAATGTGTCACTTTATCTGTTTGTTTGATTACAAAAGGATATTTTAAGGATGTGAGAATCTTATAACAAAATACAATACAGATGGGAAAAGGAAAGAGGAGGAAAAATATATCGTACATGTCTTGATGGCTTGGCCACATTCAAGGGGTGGGACAAGAGCACTGAGCTGATCCATGATACTGTTGATCGTGTAGGATGGCGAATCATTACCGTCTATGCTTCGGCACGTCACATGATAATGATTATAAAATTTTAGGAAGAGGGGGGTGGGCAATTCTATTGTGAAGGGGGCGGTGGGCCAAGAAAGTTTGGGAATCACTGGTTTGCTTAGACGGTGTAATTTGTGTGTCTTCTTCACTGTTTGCTTAACCAAAATTTATTGGCTATTGTATGACTAGGCAATTTTACCTTTAGTAGTTTGCCATCGCTTACTGAAGTGTAGGAGAATACCCTTTCAAAATCAACCCACAACGGTCTGCTACTAGAGCACCGAAACTGTTATGTAATGTAATGTTACATTAGGTTATATTATTATAATCGCTGCTCATTGGTCATTTCCATGCGTGCTCAGTCCTTCGATGCAGCAGCCACCACGAGGTGCCGTTCCTGACTGCTTCCATGATAAGCTAGTTACAGTGTCTCCTTTCTCAATACCGAAGACGACACAGACGTGCTTCTCCAGGCTTCACTCTGAAGCCGTGTAATCGTGTTAGCGTCAGAGATTTGCTACTGCCACCAGCCTAGTTAGTACAGCATTGATCACATCTGTTCTGTCCACGCATCTTATCGCATACAATACTTACCATTTATCTGTTCTCTTACCTTCTACTCTGACATACCGAGGTGTGTAGATCCATGTGAGGAAGGTTAAGTGCGACTTCTACCCATTCAGAACGGAGGCTGTCTGTTGCAGTTTTCTACCACCTGGCATGTCAGGATTGTGAAACTGCTCATTACTGAAGTCCACCTCATAAAATTAGACACTTTATGTCAGCCCGACTTAGATCAGTTGAGTTGAAACTTTACTTCATGTATGAGGAAGTAAAAAGACCACGTTCAGAGACCTAGCGCAACAGAGAAACTATTGAATCGCCAAACAAAAGATCTGCAGAAGATCCACATAATTTCAGGATATGCCTTCACACATCTGGGCCAAAGTCTGCAAAACGACGTAGCTCTATTGATTCGTGATCTGTTGCAAGGACGTTGTACCTGGGTATTGAACCATGACCAAACAGATTCTATCTACTGCGAGTGTTGTAAAGTACGTAAATACCTGGGTTGTTGAAGTTTACAAGAACATGTTTATTGAAATGCTGTGCCATTCTGCCACCTGCATACACTAGCTATTGGTTCCATTCGTCACAAGTAAATTTCTAATCAATGCTTTTCTTTCTCTGCGAATACTTGAAAAAACTGAGAGACACGAAGCTGTTTGACTGCGTTAAATGGGCTTAAAATCTATTTATTGTTTAATTAAGAATCGTTATCACAGCACTCAGGACATTCCATAACCACTCCGTCCCCATCTTTAGCAGCAAGCGCAGAGTTCCAGTTCCACCAATAGCAGGTTGATTGTATATCATTCTCGACCTTCCCCTGTGTGCTAATCGTCGACCAGATCCCCTGTTAACTCATCGCTGTACCATCCGCTTCATACCATGATGATCCACCTGTGCTTCCGCACTGTTCACTCGCCCCCCCCCCCCCCCCCCCGGGCCATTTCCGTCTGCTATGAGTCAGTTCACCACCAAGAACCAGCCAGTCTGTCTGTATGTTCATTTCCTACTACACCTGTATTTGTTGAAACCAGGTTTGTGTGTGTGCATGTGTGTGCAAAATATTACTTCCAAAACACACACTCACGCACACACACATACACTTGCTAGAATAATCTATTCTTGACCCACTGTCGCTAAAGTGATCCTGGCTTGTTTTACTGATTTACTGTAGCTAAAAAATAAAAAAAATATACATCGTCTTTTGTTTTATTGACTTACCGTAGCTATAAAATCCTCAGTTGTTCTACTAATTGACCGCAACTAAAAAATCCGTCGTTGTTGTACAAACTTATTGTAGCTAAAAAATCCGTCGTTGTTGTACAAACTTATTGTAGCTAAAAAATCCGTCGTTGTTGTACAAACTTATTGTAGCTAAAAAATCCGTCGTTGTTGCACAAACTTATCTATATATATAAAAATCAATGTTTGTGTGTTTGTTTCCCCCCTATAGACTCGGAAACTACTGAACCGATGTAGCTGAAATTTTCAGGATATGTTTGTTGTGATACCGGATTTTGAACTGTCGTGGTTTGAAATTCAACCTGTCACTGTTAGAGATAGGTGACCACAATTTATGCTAAAATATACGCAACTAATATTTATAACTTTAGTGATTTCTAATTATAGCCACGTTAGTAATTGCGCATGCGCCGTATTTACCATTCGCCGGCGAGTTACGTGCTGCCAACGCCTTCTCTAATACTAATACATAGAGTAGGTCGTGGTACAGCAAACAAGACTATCTCTATATTTGCCACAATAACCATATTAAACACGATTTCTATTTTCTGTTTTTTTTTCAAACAACCTTCGATGAGGGGGGGGGGGGGGGGGGCAAATCAAGGACTATCTCGACGTCGGCGCAGACAGTGACTGCGTCATTAACTTCATTAACCGTGTTAGACACGTGCGATTTCTATTTCATTAATATATCTAAAGTATCTGTCTACGAGAAAACAATTGCCTGCGGTTTTGAATTGTGTTTTAATCGCGACACAGTAGTATGGACAC